CACACAGAAAGGAAGGAAAGAAGGAAGGAAGGAAGGAAGGAAGGAAGGAAGGAAGGAAGGAAGAAAGGAAGAAAGAAGGAAGGAAGTGGGAGAGATACACACAGAAAGGAAGGAAGGAAGGAAGGAAGGAAGGAAGGAAGGAAGGAAGGAAGGAAGGAAGAAAGGAAGAAAGGAAGAAAGGAAGAAAGGAAAAAGAAAGAAAAAGAAAGTGGGAAAGAGAGATGAAAGAAAGAAAGAAAGAAAGAAAGAAAGAAAGAAAGAAAGAAAGAAAGAGAATTTATGACCATAATTGAGCCCAAAATTTTGGATGCAAAGCAAGAGCATTGTTAAGTGAGTTTCACCACATATTCCGAGTTGGCCATGCCCACCCGGTCACATGACCACCAAACCATGCCCACCTGGTCACATGACCAAGCCACTCCCACAAAACAGGCCACACCTACAGAATAGGTTCTAAAAAAAATTGAAACCCACCACTCATTAGTGGTACCTCACTACTTGTTATAAATTGGTTCTCGGAGGCACAAGGAATACTTAAAATGACAATTAACAAACAAACCATGTGATTAACACATCATTCTTTGTTTAGCTGGAAAGAGTAGCAAGTCACCAGGCAGCCTACACCATCAAGTTCTAATTTGCATGTGGAATACTAAATAAAGTATTACTGGAACAAAAATTTTGCTTCAAAATGAATCAAGTACCGAATTTGACAAGTTTCAAAACAGTCAAGTACTAAGGTATGACTGTATGGCATTATATAGGGATTGAAATATTATGAACATGGGGAAAACAGTTCCTCTTTTGTTTTTTACTATCCTCTTATGGATTACAAATTTGAGATAAAGAAAAATGCTTATTACTAAAGGGAGTAAAAGTTATAGAAAGGAAATTGTTGGACCACTGTAAAAGAAAATGTTTGTTTATGAGAAACATTGTACATTCATAGAAGAATACACTATTTCATCAACCAGAAAGATTATAATTTTAATGAAAAATAATCTGGAAACAGATTAGTCACAATAGAAGATAAAATAAATATTTTTGCAGAATATTGAATTTATTCTGGACTTTTTTGCTAAAAATATAAAAACCTAAAATAATGATTGTTTTAGGATGGATGATTGAAAAAGTGTTCAGTATGTGGGTGAAGGGATTATGGTTATGTTTAAGAAGATAAGGGATAATAACTTTCAATATAACTGCTGTAATGAAAGTCAGAACTCACTTCATTGATTATATTTTCCCCTTTTCTTTTAACTGTATTGTTTCCTGTGGTTTTTCCTCTCCTTTCTTTTATATTATTTTAATTTTATTCAAGTAAAACTTATCAATAATAATTGTTCTGACCCCCCTCCATACACTGAGGCACTCCGAGACAAGATTACTGCTAGACAATTTATTCACAGTAAATTAACACACCAACAAGACTTTGGCAGCAATCCAGACTTCCAAGATAAAAAATACACAGGAGAGCTTCTCCAGCATTGGTATATTAGTTGAATCCTGCAAACAGCCTCCTCCCAAAGTCTCTCCTTATATACTCTCTTGGGAGTAGCCGAATTACAACCACCTGGATCCAATTATCTTCTGTATCTGCATAGTTGCTCTCGGCGCTTATCTGCCCACCTTTGCCTGGCGTCCAGGACCAACTCCCTTTGCTCCTCCCCACTGCTCCAAGGCCTGACATCTTCACCACCGCTCCAAGGCNCGGCACACTAGTGTGCCGCGGCACAGTGGTTGAAAAACACTGGGCTAATCAATAAAGCTAAGCTAAGCTAATTATTATACTTATTTATAATATGCCACCTTTCAGGATAACAATCCCCCAAAGTATTTTACAAGCCGTTGTAAAGAAAAATGCTATATATATTACTTAATAACAACCTTCACACAATGCAGTTGCTGTCCTATGTAGAGAGAATGAAATTCAGGATTTTATTTTTTGTCAAGTTGAGTAAAACCATGGGCCAATACTTTTCTGAAGTATTATTTATTGTTATTATTATTTGTCAAATTTATTTGCCGCTTGTCTCACCTTGCAGCTATTCTGAGAGGCTTCCAATAATAAGGCTCACAATTTTCATGGAAGAAAATTAAAAAGGCATAAAACAACCCAAAGTAGAATAGAATAATAAAGTAAACAATGACAAACAAACACAACAAGAATACATACATCGGTAGGGTTATTAAAAAGAAGGATGAATTCTTGTCCTGCCTTCAGGTGCTTTGGAGAATAGCTTGACTCTTTCTTCTTTGGGGGAATGCCTGAGATGTTTTGGATATTGCTATCATGTCACCTCTAGTTAACTTCTGTTCATTAAATTAGACATACCCAATTCCAGCAAGCTTTCTTTATATGTTTTTGCCTCAGGTCTCCTAATCATCTTTGTGGCTTTTCTCTGTTTCTAGAATCGCAACATCTTTTTGACATTGTGGAGACCAAAACTGAGCACAGGGAATCATGATCCAGGGAAAGGCACAACTGGTGCACAAACCAGAGTTAAGCAAAAGCTCTCCTAGTCATGCCTGCCTCTTCAAGCAGGACACTTGAGTCCAGAAGAACCCCTAGGTCGCAAACTGGGTCTGAACAGGATAGTGCAAACCCATCCAGAACTAAGGATGACAAACATTCAGATCCTAAGGCTCCATGCACCCAAAGCCACTCAGTTTTGCTTGGGTTCAGTCTAAGTCTGTTGTCCTTAATCTAGATCCCTAGAGCATTCATACATCATGAGAAGACAGACAGTATCACTCAGATTGACATGCGCGGAGATGGTTTTATGTAGATGTTAAACCAAGCCCTGACTTAATCCATTCACAACAATCCTTTTGGATCACAGTGCTCAAAATAAAACATCTAACTCAGGCAGCAGATGTCTCTGAAAAGGAGAAAACTATTTTGCATACATGATGCCCTGTGCTTAAAAAGTGTGTCAAACATCTTATTTGTGTGATTACTTTTATTAGGTATTTTTGTGATGGGGTTGGGTTGCTATATACTTCATCTGATAGCAGACTCACTCTCCAAGTGACAGTGTAAGTATTTTAAGGTGCTACTGAAAATAGAATACTTGGCAACATGTAAGATTATTTAAGTTCTTGAATCTGTTATAAATCTGAGGTTTAACATTAATTTTATGTGATTTTCTGTTTCTTTTCCTTTCTTTCCTGATGTCCCTCAGGACATTCATTTATCCATTCTTCCAAAGAGGCAAACCTTTCCCAATGAAGATAATGTTTTGTGGTACACTGTTCTGCATCTATAATGGCTTCCTTCAAGGTTACTACATGATTTATTGTGCTGAATATCCTGATGATTGGTGTAAAGACATACGATTTTTGTCAGGTATTATCTGTGTTGTGTGATGTGTCATATGCCTGCTATTCAGTTCATCCAAACTTTGCCAACATTGGGAGGGATGGAGGGCATAGTACCTGTGAAAATCTTAAGGCAGAAAAACAAAACAAGAGAATTAAAAAAAAGTAACACTTGTTTTCCTGCCACAATCTTATACTAATTGAACAAAGGTACAAAATGGATTCTGTACTTATGATAATAATTGCCAGAGAGGATTCTGATCACATTTCAGGCTAATATAGAAAGGGCTTTATCCCTCAAATGGAAGAAAGAAATGATGTTTAATAGGAATTAGTACTTTTAAAATCTATGCTTGTGGATCCAATTGCAGTTGGATATAGAACTAACATTTTTCTGCATTTGATACTACAGTTCACTACTCAGAATAATTTTCTGAAATATGTACTGTATTAGGGAGATGTATTTGCAGGTATTAGGGGGTAAAAAAGCTTTTTAATGCACATTTTTATGTGGAAAGTTATGCAAAGTTATGCAGCAAGCAGACAAAATGAACTTAAGGTTTGAAAAATGAGAAATAAGGAAATGTGAAACTGAGAAAAATAAAACAGTTTGCCCACTCATACTCTTGTTTTTGGAAGTATGTTTCTATCAGACATCTGCCAAACTCACTCTTTTATATTCAATTTTGTATTGCATTTATTTAACTTTTATAAATATTTGGTACATTTGTAATGAAACATTTACAGAGTATTATACATACTATCTATTTATATATAATTTTGCTTTAACTTGTGAGGTGCTTTAGAAAAACTCAGAAACACCCTATCAAATGTTGATAACAATCACCCTGATGATCCTGCAAAGCAGAGCTGAGGAACCATGGCCCCTTTATGACTTGTGAACTTCAACTCCCAGAATTCTCCCAGAAAAGTAAAGTCCTACACAGATAAGAAAAATCAAAAGTACACATATAAACAGGGTGAAACCAGGCATAATAGCAGTGACTGAGATGGATTTTGGAGTCTTAATAGACAACCAATTAAATATGAGCTAGCAGTGTGCGTCAGCAGTCAAAAAAGCCAATTCTATCCTAAGTTGCATTAACAGAGGGATACAATCAAGATCAAACGAGGTACGAATACCACTCTATAAAGCCCTAGTAAGACCACACCTAGAGTACTGCATCCAGTTTTGGTCACCACACTATAAAAAAGATGTTGAGACTCTAGAAAAAGTGCAGAGAACAGCAACCAGGATGATTAGGGAACTGGAGACTAAAACCTATGAAGAATGGTTACAGGAACTGAGCCTGGCTAGTCTAATGAAGAGAAGGACCAGGGGAGACGATAGCAGTCTTCCAATATTTGAAGAGATATCACAGACAGGAGCGGGGGTATCAAGCTATTTTCCAAAGCACCTGAGGCCAGACAAGGAATAATGGATGGAAACTGATGAAGGAGAGATTCAACCTAGAAATAAGGAGGAACTTTCTGACAGTGAGAACTATCAACCAATGGAACAGCTTGTTTTCGGAAGTTGTGGGAGCTTCATCACTTGAGAATTTCAAGAAGAGATTGGGCTGCAATTTGTCAGAAATGATGTAGGGTCTCCTGCTTCAAGGGGGTGGGATTAAATGACCTATAAGGCTCCTTCCAACTCTGTTGGAACATTATCTGTTAATTCCTGAGCCAGCCATGCTGGGAGTTGAAGTCCACAAGTCATAAAAGGGCCATCGTTCCCCACTACTACTGTATAGGAATCTCCTTGGTTCCTCCCAACTAGGAGAGATCAAGTCAGTCAGCCAACAGAGGACTGAGAAATAAGCATACAGTATTTTTACCACTTTTATTGCCATAAGGCAAGCCTGAAGAAAGACACTTACGTGGTCCTGGTTAGAATTGCTCTTGAGGTATCTCTTCTGAATATTTTTCACAAAAAATAGGGAGTATATTTTCTCAATGGCAAAGAATAAAGCCAGTGCAATATTTGTTTGAATAAAGTCTGAAATTCAAATATTTGTATTATCCAACTCATAAATATTTTTTTCTTTAGGTCTTTTGCTGTTTTTGTCTGGCATGGGAATTAATATCTACAGTGATTTTCTTCTACGTCAGCTAAGAAAGCCTGGAGAGTTCACTTACAAAATTCCACAAGGTATATAATTTTCCTTCCAAACTTGATGAAAAATAGGATAACTCTGAAAACTTTGCTTGTATCACAAGAGCCTGTCCTTAGGGCACGATAAAGAAGACACTAGCTGGAAATGTGAAATCATTTAATTGGTCTTTTGTTCATTAACACAGTTAATGAGATTCTCTGAGAAAGTCTTGATCAGATGCCAGAATGAAGAACTGGAAGAGATCGCACTTATTTGGCACCTCAGCCCTGTTTCCCACTGATCACCATTTATTTAGCCTCTTTGGTGTGCCTAAAATGAAATGGAAATACACTATATTGCCAAAAGAATTCACTCACCCATCCAAATAATCAGAATCAGATGTTCCAATCACTTCCATGGCCACAGGTGTATAAAATCAAGTACCTAGGTATGCAGACTGTTTTTACAAACATTTGTGAAAGAATGGGTCGCTCTCAGGAGCTCAGTGAATTTCAGCGTGGAACAGTGATAGGATGCCACCTGTGCAACAAATCCAGTCGTGAAATTTCCTCGTTCCTAAATATTCCACAGTCAACTGTCAGCTGTATTATAAGAATGTGGAAGTGTTTGGGAATGACAGCAACTCAGCCATGAAGTGATAGGCCACGTAAACTCGTCCAACATCAGTGTGTGACCTCACAAATGCGCTTCTGAAAGAATGGTCAAAAATTTCCGTAAACACACTCCTAAACCTTGTGGACAGCCTTCCCAGAAGAGTTGAAGCTGTTATAGCTGCAAAGGGTGGACTGACTTCATATTGAACCCTATGGATTAGGAATGGGATGTCACTTACAATAAGTTCATATGTGAGTAAAGGCAGGTGAGCGAATACTTTTGGCAGTATAGTGTAACTGTCTTACATCGTGGGTGTCAAACCTGCGGCATCACATTGCCTTCACATGATGTTTCACAATGTTTTTTTCCATTTGCAGAGCTGGGGTGAGCATGGCCTGTGAATGATACATCCGGCCCACTGCCCATCAGTTTGACACCCTTGTATTAAACTATGTGTGTTGTCCGACCTTTCACATGAGCACTCAGTTTTGGTATAATCAGGAATGAGATTGTCGGTTCGAATCAGTTCAGGTGAACCAGATGCTAATTTTACATCTGGTTCACCGAACTGGCAAGGACTACACGAGTCTCCACACGGCCCTTTTTGGATGCCAGGTAAGTGCAGGGCCCACACAGAGATTCTGGAGTGTGTGTGAAAAATGGGCTCCTGGAAGTCTGGAAATGTGCCCATTCTGGCCTTTGGAGGGTCTCCAGAGCCAAGGGGAGGCCGTTTTTGCCCTCCCAGAGACTCAAGGAAAGCCTCCAGAGCCTGGGGAGGGCAAATATGCCCCCCCCACCGTGGTGCAGGAGGCTGAGTAGGCCATGGTCATGCCCACCCAGCAACCAGGCTTGCTAAAAATTTTGAATCCCACCCCTGGATATAATTCTTCAAGGGAGCCATAAACAAATAATAATAATGATGATGCTAATAATTAGCTGTTGTTTCTCAAGAGTATTTAAACTGATCTCTTCTGTGCAGGAGGATTGTTTGCATATGTTTCAGGAGCAAATTTTCTTGGAGAAATCCTGGAATGGTTCGGGTATGCTATAGCATCCTGGTCTCTACCTGCTTTAGCCTTTGCATTTTTTACACTCTCCTGCATTGGACCACGTGCTTATCATCACCATAGGTATTTATACTGTATAAATTATACAATATGATATCTGACAACATTCTAGTTAATAATATTGCTCAGAAGCAGGGAATAATATATATGAGCCTTTCTATATCAAGCTGGATTTATAAATAAGTAAACTAAAGGGCCAATTGATCAGAACTGTGAAAGCTTCAGAATAAGTGCTTCGGAATATTCATGATTGTGATGCCTCTCTGCTCTTTATTAAAGCAACCCATATTTGTCTTTCAGGCTTCTGCTCGTCTGAAAAAGGGTACCAACTAAAGCAATTCTTAAAGCAGTTGCATCCCTTCTTTTCATTTTGCACCCATTGATTTTATATGCTGTGCTTGTGCTCTTTCTCCTTTTCCAGACATATATTGTGACTGTGTGTACATTTGTTCTGGGAAACAGATTGTGCACATTCTCAGCCACATTTCCATTCTATTCTATTGTAAACTGCTTTGATGCCACTTTTCACTAAAATTCCCTTTTCACAAAACTAATGCTGCGTTATTAGCAAGCAATATGCAGTTATGCTTCAACCTATTTTGCTCAAATATTTGTCTCCCAGAACTGTCAAAATAGATAAAACAGTAAAGGATGAGTAAGAAGATGCCCATTTATTTGAAATATTAATACTTTGCCTTTGATCCAAATTGACTCCAGTGTGCTAAAATAATCTCCTGTGGGCCCTTAAACTGACATGTGCAGCTGTGGATTGCAGTTCTGTTTGGATGAGCATTGTGAGCCTGGGGAAATTTGTTTGTGCTCCTCTCTTTTAGGAAATCTAAGTGTGAGCTGCCTGTAGCACAAGGCACATGAGAACATATGTGTCTCTATATTTTATTCTAGAAGTCAGACAGGTCTATGGAAATGTGTGTGTTTTTGGATAGGAATTTTGTAGCTACCTTACTTATTGTCAAACCACAAAAGATGGATTTATCTAGTTTTGGCCTTTTACAAGTGGATTAGAAACCGCTGAAGCATAGATTTTCCCCATCTACCCTTATTTTCTTTGTTTCCACACAGATCTGCTTCACGTGTAATTTATAGGACCTAGCACACAGCATGTCTATTGTCTTTTTTACTTTTGCCCTGAAACTTCAAATGCTGAATCGGGTAGTCATATAAATATACACAATGCTTTCTGTAGGAGCCACACTGAATAGACAACTTAGAAAATTAGAATAAGAACTTTCTTTTCACGTTATCCTTAAAGCTGAGGGTTTTATAAACTTTCAATAAGGAACATAACTTTTTGTTGTATTTTGTATAACTTTTTATTCTGTTACTTAAGTTTCATTTAGCCAAGCATAAAAACCATGTAGAAAATACCTCGAAATACAGGTACTCCTTAATTTACAACCATTCATTTATAATGACCATTCAAAGTTATAACAGAGACGAAAAAGGTTTCTTATGACCAGTTTCCACAATTATAACACGCAAAAAAGCCAGATTTGCTTGTGAATCGCCTAACAACCATGGTAACAATGGTGGCAAAATGGGCCATGACTCAGTTAACCACTGCCTTGCTTAGCAATAGAAATTTTGAGCTTCATTGTGTTCGTACGATGAGGATTACCTGTGGCAACTCTTCCACTGTTTTATTCTTGGACTTCTCATGATGGATAAATAATGCTGAGTATAGATCTCTGACAAATGACGATCAACATTTACCAGCTAGTCGCTATTCAAAAATAACAGGCGTTCTCTACAAATAATATCAGTTGAAGTCTGTCTCTGCTGGAAGACACCAAATGTTTAAATCTTGTCTTCCAGAAGTATTGAGTCTTTCTCAAGCGACTTACAAGTGAAAGGAAACTTAATATATAAACGTCACATGTAGTTTTTGTAGTATTTGATAAATTTTTCATTACAAATTACCAAATATTTACAACAATTAAAATAAGTGCAGTAAAATATTGAATATAAAAGAGTGAGTTTTAATGTTATTAGAATTATTTCCATCATGGCAGATGGTCCTTTGATAGAGAGAAGGATATAAAAGTAATTTTTTATTTATCATTTAAATGTTAACATTCTTTGAAACTTTGGATCCATTTGTGAGCCATTTTTGAAGAGCCACATACCAGAAGAGATTTGAGAAATGAGATTGTACCTTCTTAAAGCAGGATTATAATTTAGGGTACATATCTTCATGTTTGTGTTTGTTTTCTTACAGGTATTATCTGAAGACATTCACAGCCTATCCAAAATCAAGAAAAGCCTTGATTCCTTTTATATTTTGAAGAACAGTTATCCGAATGGATGGGTGTTATCTGTTCTTTATTGTTTACATATTTTTTTTATTGTTGTTAAGTATAACGTATTAAAGACCCTTGAATAATTTCATTTTGTGTATAGAATCCCTCTGGCTCTTAAAAGCATGAAGAATAGTCAGCAAATAATGATCTCCTACTTGCATTTCACAGGTTGGCAACTAGTGCTGCTTGTCTGAGAAATTGGACGGTTGTCACTATCTACTTTTCACAGAAAGTGAAAATTAAGAAAAAATCAGTTAAGGGGGAAAAGGGGCTTGTTAGCTATAAGTTTATTGCTCTATTTCTTTGTTCTTTCTCATAAAGACAAAGAAAACATTCTATAAAAAGTGATACTCAGTTTCAAGCTAAGTATATAAATGCATCTTTCGTATTTTTTCAAATGAGTTATGGTTGTATATAATTATTATCAAAAATGAAATGTAACTCGCTCAGTTATTTTAACAGGTAATTTAACTGGTAATCGTGTTTTTATAAGTGTGATCCATGAGCTGAATATGACATCAAATAAAAATCAGATCTTTTGCATGAAACAGAAAAATGTGCTTGTGATTTGTGGTTTTGATGATTAGAAAAAAAAGGATAATAGAAAAAAGGATTGGTTGTAATAATAGAATAAGAATTAATATTGTATATATATTTATATTTCCTGGAAAGAAAATTGGAAGCTTCTTCTGTTTTTTATTCTTTTTTCTTTATGCACTTTTGCTTTTCTTTCATTTTTCTTTATTTTTGCACTTTTTCTTTTTCTTTTTTCTTTATTTTTGCACTTTTGCTTTCTTTCTGTACTTTTTTCTTTATGCACTTTTCTTTCTTTCTTTCTTTCTTTTTTCTTCTACTCTTTATTTGTTATGTGTTTTGTAAAACTTTAAAAAAAATTAAAAAAAACACTACACAAAGCATCCTATCACTTATTAAAAAATCCATTTACTTTTACTTGGCAAATCAAGAAATAGGAATCCACCTCCCATCTTCCTATCCAGATGGTAGGTATTTTGTGTTAAAAGCCTAATATCTGGTACTGAATGGATCCATAGCACAGAAATGGTTCTTCATTGCACTTTCTTGTTTTCTTTTACTTTTTAATTTAGAGTTTCTGAGTAGTTCCCACAGATCCAATTTTGACTTAGCTCGGTTTCAGAGTCCAGACAAAAAAGATAAACTGTTGCCACCTGGCCAAGACAGAAATAGTCTCAAATTGCCAATAATGATGTGGGGGCGGGGGTGGGATGAGCTGTACAGTGCCCCTAACAGCAAAATTTCTATGCTTCTCAAGAGATACCTAAATTTCTGTGTATATACAGTACTGCATACAACAGCTCTGGCTCCATATTGACTAAAAGATAAGGAAGAACAGAGATGACAAAATCCAGCATCTTCTCTGTGTCTGAAACAGCTGATCCATGTTCTTAGATCCTGTAGTGTGTTTGCATGCTTCTCCTGTGAGCTTGCTTCCAAATGAACTGAATACTATTATGCAGATGCTAACCAATAAGGTTGGTTATTCTTTAAATAATAAATTCCAGCTGTTTTCCTATAACCTTTAGTTTTATGTAATCTTTTGCAAGCAATTATTCTTGTATGTTTCTATGTAGGCATATTTAAAAGAGGCAAAGGCACTTTTCCTGCAACATTGCATTATCTTTGCAACAACTTGGCTTCTCATGATTACCTTTAGACTATTGTCTTTCTGTCCTGCTCGGCATCAAGTAGGGAGGTTGTGAATCAAAGATCCCACATAATTCTGGCTCTACAGCAGTGTTTTTCAAACTGGACAACTTTATGGTGTAAAGATTTCAACTCTCAGAATTTCTAAATTCTTCTGCAACAAACTGGTGAACAAACATATTTGTGGATACTTGATTTCTTATTGATAGGCCCCAGTTTGTACAATTGGAAGAAAAGTTTCCATCTCCTTGGGTATGGGTTCCCCATAGAGTTGTGTCTTGAGTCTGTTATTGTTCACCACATGTATTAGTCTTGTCCATTATGCAGTTCCCATAGATTTCTCCTTTCACTAAGGAATACAATTGGCTTTATTTATTTTATTTTATTGTTTTCCTTTTTTAAAAAATAAACTGATTTATCTATTTAATAAACTGGCTGTGTTTGTTCATTCATTCATTCATTCAACTGGGCAATCCATTCCACCTGTGAACAGTGTACATAAGGCACTTAAAATAATACAAAGATCATGCAAAACAAAGTCCCAGAAAAATAATACCCACACCACTGAAACCAGGTGTGATATTCAGCCGGTTTGGACCAGTTCAGGCGAATCGGTAGCCAAAATTTTGAGTTCAGAGAACTGGCAGATACTACCTCTGGTTGGCCCCACTCTCCGACCCCCATCGTTCCCTATCCTATATTCCTTTGTTTTTTAGCTCAGCTGATTCACACGGCAGTATGGATTGCCCCACCTCAGCTGAGCTAAAAAAACAGCTCAGCTCACCAGTGCTGACACTGAGGGTGGTCTTTGAGTGCTGTCAGTACCTGCAAAGGGCTCTCTCAGAGAACTGGTAGGAAAAAAATTGGAATCCCACCACTGTCTGAAATCTTAGTAGGGCAATGTAAACTTTTTTAGTTTCTTCTCCAAGAACTTAATTTCTAACACTTTTTCCCCCCTGACCATAAATTTCTGCAATGTAAGAATTTAAAAGATTGGAGCGGGTGTGTCTGTGTTCTGCTTTTGGATTTCAGCAGATTCTCTTCATTGTTGATCTCTATGCTTGATCAAAGTCTGTTTTGACAGATCTCAAAAATGTGCTCTTAGAAATATGTAATAAAATTCTATGTATGTAGTATAGATAGCTGACATATTATTTCTTTCCACTCTGTCAGCCATGTAAAGGTACACCAAACTATGAAACAGATCATATGTAGGCTGAAAGTTATTTTTATTAGAAAAGCTATATTATTTTTGTATGAATAGAGGATGCTGTCCAAGGCATTTTGGTAAATCTCATTCTTGGCATGGTCTTGATCCTAATTTATCTGATTACTATCTTAGTAGTGGAGCTTCCCTGTCTCCTTCAAGTCCATCCTCTTTATTCTCTCCACAATGAGAAAGATAGTATGCACATTCAGAAAGGAATCAGAAATAAGCAAATCAATTATGGATGTGAGATAAGAAAAAAGCCCACTAGGTCTGTTATTAAACATACATTCAATGGTCTTCAAAAGTCCAGTAAAACTGTGCTTTTTTTAAAAAAAACATGGGATAGAGCAGCAAATTCTGTTGAATAGGAGAAAAGGTGTATTGATGATTCTGCTTCACATCAGTGTGCTAAAGATTTTCTGCTGATAGGGGATTTTTTACACAGCAGTGCTTTCTACTATTTTATTACTTTGGAAGAAAGCAATTTTGGCAGTGAATTGCTATTTTCATGCAATTGGGATATTAGGGAACTGATTAAAATTGACCAGTTTCCTCTTATATCCCAAGTAACAAAAAGACTGGTATACAGGTAGTCCTCACTTATCAACTGTTTGTTCAGTGACCGGCTGAAGTTAGAACAATACGGGGGAGGGGGGGATGAAAAAATAACTTTACAGCCCTCAATGCAGCATCCCTCAATGCTATGATCACTATTACAGTCAGTAAGTGAAATGTACTCCTTCCCCTTTGCCCTGAACAAAGAGATTAGAGAGGGATTTCAAGAGAGTAAGCTGTTTGCTTTTCTACAGATCGAAAGCAATCAAATTGTGCTGGCAAAAGGAAAGGGTCAGGCAAAGGAGAGATAACATACAGATGGAAGAATGGGAAAATATGCACTAAAAGTAACAAAATTTAGACTATCATCTTGAAGAATGTTTTTTTTAATTTAAAAAAAAAGATGTACCATTAGCAAACTTTAAATGTATGTTGTAAATGTGAACAACAAGAAGGGACATTTTATCATGTTTGGTAGGTGTGTTAAAAAGGCTAGAAAATTCTGGCTTCAAATAC